TTTCTACACACACACTTTCTTTCTATTTTAAAGAATTTGACTTCATATCAATTCCATTAACTAGATAGCTCAATTAGCTGGATTTAATTATCATAAAATATTATTTTAATTCTTTTTTGTAAATTTATATTTCTTTCCTTTGTGCATGTATTCGCTATTCACGTGCAATACTTTGATCAAATGCTTGTTTGTATGTATCCAATAAATATGTATTTATAAGTATGTATTCAATAATATGTATTTAATAAAATTGTTATTATCAAATATAAAATTTATACTTGCAGAAATCTAATATGGATCAATTTATTACAGAAAAATAATAATTATTTGGAGTGAACCGTAACTTATTTGGAATTACTAAAAGTATTGAACAAGAATTTTAATACTTTTAATACATAAAATAAATAATTAATTATTACTGTGTTTTTTAATATTAATAAATTGGCCATTATTCTGTATTAGATTTCTATAAGGGCACTGTACCATTTTTCAGTTAAATAATAATTCTTTAATTTTACCAACATTACTTTGACTTTAAAAGCCAGCTCCTTTTGGCTGAACTTTTTTGCACCAGTGCATCTTTCTTCTTCTTTTTTTCTCCTGAAGAGAAAAGGAAGAAAGATGAACTGAAGCAAAAGTTCAGCTAAAAAGAACAGGCCTTAAGTGAGGCTTAAAACTCTGTCTCTCTCTTTTTAAAGCCGAGAGAAAGACAGAAAGGGAGAGAGTTTTAAACTTCGCTTAAAATTAAAGTAACGTTGGCTTGCAATCGGACCTAAAGTACATTAAACCGTATTTTACGGGACTTATATTCTTTATGGAACTTTATTCTTTGGAGTCAACTTCCGCAGTGTATCGTCGAAGCTATGAAGCTGTAATGGATGACTGCTTGGATTTTTGCCGGAGGCAAACGCCGCACAAATGTTGCATTGACGTTGATTCTCGCGCGAATCAATTTATTATGCACAACGGTATATACGCATCGGCAATCGAATATTTATATCGACGGACTGCCGAGATATTGCAGGTTCTCTTAAAGGCGGGAATCGACAAAGATTCATTAACAAATCCGCGCCTACAAATTGATGTAGACCCGACCGCAATCTCACGATCTAAAATGGTAACGATGGGAATTAACAGTCTATCTTCGGTAAGGCAAAGCCTTTACCAATTTCGCTTGTACTCTGTATGTGCAAATTGGCGCACGTACACGTACGTTCGCATTGTTACCGGCGACAATGTAAGCTGCACAAGGGTGCTGCTATATCGAGTACAGGCTGTTCTATGTAAGTACTAATTAGACTTTAGATCAAATTTTCAATCGTCTTTAGAATGCTAAACCGCCTAATTAACATGGTTACGTTTTGAAACATTAACTTTTTCCGCATTAAATAATCAGCAAATCTATCGCTATGAGAAGCAGTTCTCATAAATCGATATAAATATTTTTATCTATTATTACTTAGAGAAGCGTAAGAATATTCATTAATAGTTTTCAGTGTTAGATTCTTATTATTTAAATATTTACTAAAAAATTCAATTTTTATAAGAGTTTAGAGTACAAAATTAATCAATTACAAATTTTTGCTCTGTACATTCGACATCTGTCATATATTATATTTGAAATTAATTTACAATTAATATTAGTATGTCTATGATTGCAAGAATATAATCTTTTAACCCGTAAGATATTTGTTTATAAATTTACAATATTATTATATATAATTTTTTAACTACTGTACAACATATCTATTTTTGTATCTTCGATTGTAATACAAAATAAAATTATTTTGTTATTTAATTTTTATATTTCATTGCTTAGATAAATCGTGGCAAAGTAGCGTCGAGAAAAAAATCAACATTCAATGCAACTTTCAAATATATATTGAAACGTTTTAATAACTTAAGTTAGTTTTATTAACTTTTAATTGCTATAAATTAATTAAAAATAAAAACCCAGTGATAATTAATTTCTCCTTTAAAATCTTTAAAAAATCGACACAATTTATTCTTTTATCTGTCGAAAATCTTTCTCGAAAAGTACTACGGGAAGAAATAAAAATTACGGAACGAATCGACGCGCGCACGTACCTGTTACACGCTGAACTTGGACGGAAAAAATCAGCAGAACCACCGTGATCAGCCAGGAATGCGGCGGTGGAAAGGTGGACGTCCTCCTTCGCAGCGACATTTTTGGCTTCCTCTCTGCTTCCGGTGCGCGTCAGTCACGTTGTAGCCACGTACATCCCTGAAATTATTCACGGTGAGTCGACGACTGGCGAGCCTGCCGGCCGGCAGGCGCAGAACCGTGACGATGCATCCTCGCAGGTTGCACTAATTGTAAAGTGCATCCTACGTAGGTAGCCACGCGCGTCTTATGTAAAAGGCGCGCTCTTACATGCGCTCCACGATCAAGGGAGAAACAATCGCGTTCCGATATACGGCAAAGGGGAAAGGGAAAGGTTTATTTACCTCTTCCCTGCGCAAAAGATTAGCCGTGGTGTACGGAAAGTAACGCATTCGTGTTGCAAAACACCCACGCGAGATTCAGTCTCGCCGGTGCATTCGCAAGTTTCGAAATTGCATTGCACACCGTTTCATTATATCGGAAGAAATTCATTATATTCAGTTATGATTTTCTCATGATTATATGATTTTACGAGGATTTTCTCTTGTGCATAGATGAAAGATATATATATATAGGAATACGAGTTCTTTTATCATTTAATAGAATACAACACTGCGTATAAAATGTTTCACTTTTACCGTATTATATTTTCCGATGGCAGATTCTCTTTAATCAATTCAGAATCTCTTTTTTTTTTCACTATGAACGAGATTCGATTCAATCAAGTCGGATGGAATCAATTTCCTTTGAACAAAATAAATTCAATGTTGCAAAAAAACTAGTATGTAGTTTATCGAAATCATTTCTGACCGCAAATTATATTTTTATATAATTTATTAGTGTTTTAATAACACAATATTTTAGACAAACTTATGTACTTCAAATCATCTAAATCATTTTGAAATAACTTGAAAGGTTTAATCGCCGATATTA